TGGGGAGAGAGGGCTGGGTCTCCTAGGTCTGTCCCGAGGGGGTTGTCAGCCTCTTGGAGGCCCATCTGAAGCACATTTCTTTCACCAGCCCCTGAAACAGCTAAGGAACTCATTTTTTTGTGAGGCCTATTCCTCACACTCCCTCCCTACTGCTTTTTTGAACCAATCTCTGCTAGGGCTGGATAGGGGCCGGTAGATTATTCAAAACCCTCTGCTCCCTGGCCAGCCCCATGAAGCGCCTGGCTCCTGTATGCAGTAGGTCAAGGGGGGTGCCCACAAGAGAGAGGGTATCAAATGCCCCACGGGCTCCAAGGGCTGGATGTCGTGGTTGCCAGTTCCGATTTCAAAACCAGTTTAACCTCTTTTCTTCAGCTGAGCCTGAGCAACTTGGGCAAGGTGATCGGCTGGAGCACTCCAGCTTTAGACCTCGGGGGCCTGTGACTGAGTGGGGGCTGCCTTCTCACCCAGTGTTCAACAAGGGGGCCCAGAGCACACAAACAGGGCAAGTATCTCCTGCAGGCTGGGCACTTCCTTCTTGGTGAGAAGAAAGATTTAAAGGAGCAAGAGAACCATTTTAGAATACAATCTTTCTGCATGTGATCCATACTTCAAGGAGAGGCCCAGGAGCTCCCCACCCCCACCATTGGTAGTGAATGAAAAAATGCATCAGTGACTTCTTTACCATTGGTTTTACGTTCTTACAAAAAAAAAAAAAAACTTATTTTATGGGTCTTCTGCAAAGCCCCCATTCTTATAGCAACTTTGGGGTACCAAGTGTTATCACTTCCATGATGACATTTGCTCCTAATAATGGTCTATTATTACAACTCCAGGTTACAGAGGGGTCCAAAGCTCAGAGTACTGGAGTGCTTACCCAGAGCCATGTGGTAGCCTAATCTGGCACAAACCTCCTTCTGATTTCAAACCCCATGCTTCTCCTTCACTCCAAGCTGTACCAAATGCCTCAAGGAGGGTACAGTGTCTAAGATAGGTACAGTGTCTATGATGAGACCTGTGTGGGGCAGGGGGTACAGTGTCTATGATGGGACCTGTGTGGGGCAGGTGGAAAGACTTAGGAGACCTGGGCTCTAACCCAGCTCTGAGTCACCTTGAGAAGGTCACATCCTTCTCTGATTTCAGCTCCTTCTCCCCAAGATTCACCTCTATCTTAATTACCCAGGAATTTAGCTCTTGGTTTTTTTGAGAATAACTGACCCACACGTGGGTTCTCCTGGGATCACTTTCCCTCCCTGTCTGCCTGTCTGCTGACATTCCCACAGCACAGAGTGAAGACAGACAAGAGGAAAACCCTCCCACACCCACACTCTGGGCCATCGAAGGTAACTGTAGTAAAATCTTTTATAAAGGGACTGAAGCAATTTGTTCTTGTGAGCTTGTCTGATTTCCACTTAGCCAGGCACTCAGATCCCCATTTCTGTGGATAATCAGAAGCTGGCCACTTGCCACTGAACACAGCTTCCAAGTGGGAACCACCTAAAGTCCACAAGTGGAGAGATGATTATCAAAATCACGGTACTGAGCATGAAAAGTACGGCTATGAATATTTTTTGGAGATGCAGACATGGAACATACTTTGACAAAAAGTGAAGTAAAACAAATTGTACTATAAAATTGCATGTTCAGTATAATATCAACTCTTTACAATAATACTCAGAGACAAAATGATAGCCCATGGTTATGGACAGAGGTTGGCAGTATGGCCAAATACATGATCAGGAAGAAAACTGTGTGTTTTTTAAAGAATCAGGAAGGAAACCTTTTTTTAAGTTGGCAATAATAGTCTTAACTTCTTCTATCAATATTCTTTTTTTTTTAAAGATTTTTTTAATTGATATGTTTGGGGGAGAGAGAGAGAGAGAGAGAGAGAGAGAGAGAGAATGAGCAGGGGGGAGGCACAAAAGGAGAGGGAAAAGCCAGCTCCCATCTGAGCAAGGAGCACCACATGGGGCCCCATCCCAGGACCCTCAGCTCATGACCCAAGCCGTAGGCTGATGCTTAACCGACTGAGCCACCCAGGCTCTTTATCCAAGTTCTGAGTCTTGGCAAACACCAAGTCTCCTGCCATGATTGTAAGTCATCGGCAAGTGTCCCAATCTTAGCTTCAGAAATGCACACACCAAGCCCTCTCAGAGAACCACTTCCCCTCCAGGATGATCAAAAATACCCTCATGGGTCCTGCAGCTCAGCGTTCACTTTCGCAAAGTGACATCTAAGGATTCCGGACTTTTTAGCTTTGTATTTCTAAGCCCGGGTTTCCCCTTTTATGTGCCTCGGATCAGTAACATGACAGTGTTAAGGAATTACTGGACAAAGACCATATTCAAACAAGCTGGGGAAGTTCACATCTCCGTTTCAATGAATTAAGAGCGATTTCTCTGTGAAATGATCCCGCAAGAGGGGCATACAGGATGTACCCTTTGCAGATCAAGTTCACCGACGCCTTCTCTTTTCGGACTAGCTCAGGGGATGACAGCTGGACAGATTCAGGGGCATCCAGGGAAGTGCGGTCCCTGTTCCCTCCGCCTTCTAACCCTGTGGTTCTCAGTCCTGGCTGCACATTGGGATCACCCGCGCAGCCTGAAAAACAAACCCCTCGGCCTGGATCTGGTCTGGGGAGCAGTGAGAGCCAGGGTTGAGAACCACAGCTTCCTTTCACTATCTTGAGGGCGTCCATGCTAAGAAGTCAACACCAGATTGGGCTCCAACCTCAGAATCATTCATGTATCATCCATTTTTTAAGCTAAATGGAACTTCTAAGGACATCTAGTTCAATCTCTTATTTTACAGAGGAAGAAACTGAAGCCCTCAAGGATTCCCAGCCCCCTACCTCCTCTAATGCTGGTTCCAGTCAGTGCCCCGCAGTCCCTTAGGCCCCCAGGCCTCTGGACCACAGGACCCTTCATTCAGTGGGAGAAGCAAAGCAAACCTTCGGATCTCCAAGGCCATTTTGCTGCCAGAGGTTGCTTATCAGGCTGCCCCTCTCTCTGGCAAGTGAACCCTGACACAAGTGAAATTCTGACTCATGTCCTCTTCCTAACACCCCAGGACTGAGAATGAGGAGCCAGGGGACTGCAGGCTCATGAGGACAGAAAGCCCACAATGGCAGCAGAGCAAACACATCCATACATCCTTCGGCAGCTAGAGCAGGAGGCAGGCACTTTTATCCCCTGTGCACTCCATCGCTATTGCAGGAGGGCTGAGATGCTGTCAGAGATATTTTTAAACTCAAGAGTGAAAAGAAGGGGCACCTGCACCCCAATGTTCATAGCAGCAGTGTCCACAATAGCCAAACTGTAGAAGGAGATGAGATGCCCTTCAACAGACGAATGTATAAAGAAGATAGGGTCCATAAACACAATGGAATATTACTCAGCCAGCAGAAAGGATGAATACCCACCATTTGCTTCGACATGGATGGAACTGGAAGGAATTATGCTGAATGAAATAAGTCAAGCAGTGAAAGACAACTATCACATGGTTTCACTCATACGTGGAAACATAAGGAATCGCGAGGAGGACCACAGGGTAAGGGAGGGAAAAGTGAAGGGGAAGAAATCAGAGAGGGAGACAAACCATGACAGACTTTGGACTCCAGGAGACAAACTGAGGGTTACAGAAGGGAGGGAGTGGGGGATGGGGTAACCAGGTGATGGGTATTAAGGAGGGCACATGTTGGGATGAGCACTGAGATTTAAACGCAACTAATGACTCACTGAACACTACAACAAAAACTTATGTTGTACTATATGCTGGCTAACTGAACATAATAAAAAAAATAAAGAAAGAAATAAAAAATAAAATCAGGAGACGCCTGCATACCCATTAAGAACCCTCTGGGTTGATGGCTTTGGCCCCTATCCTCTTCTGACAATATTCTTGCTTCTGAACATGGAATTTTGTAGTAAAAAAAAAAAAATCACCATACTTTTCAGTTTCACACCCTGTACCTCTGATCACCCCCCTTTTTCAACCCTAAGATTCCATTATTTCTTTCTCTTTAGCAGCACTGAGAAAGACACACTATGAGAGAGGATCCTAAGAGGGGAGGGTGAAACACACATAGCCTCTTGGTACCCTTCCTGCGCCCCCAGCTTGTGGCCTCTGGTCCCCACAAGACCAGAATGAACACCTTTGCGCCCAAGGAACTATTCTCTTAGACACTCTCCATCCTACAGGAGAATCTCTACGCATCCTTCTAAACTCCAGGCTCACAGCTAAGCTCCCAGAGAAGAATCTCAGTGAGCCCCAATCTGGCCTCTGTGACTTTCAGAGTGGGGAGAGGGAGCAGGTCACAGAAGCAGATGGAAGAGTCCTATAGGTTCCTTCAGAGTTCAGACTCATTCTGGTGTCTGACACCCTCCCCCCACACCACCCAACCAGCGTAGGGCAGCGAACTGTAGGAACAGCGGGTGAGGGTTGCAGGTAACTTCTACCAGGAAGCAGAGCTCAGCAGCAGCCAGTCCTGAGACAAGCCCCCTTTCTGAGGCTACCTATGAGCCTGGTTCGTGCTCAAAGGATCTAGCTCTCCTGCGTGTTGGTGTCTTTGAGTTTTATCCATGGAAAGGCAACAGTTGGCAAGTTCTCCAACTTCCTGAAGAACGTCCCAGACCAACCAGCGCTCCCACACCTGCCCTACGGTCCAGGAGATGGAGCCAGGTACTGGACCTTTTCCAGACCCAATTTATTTCTTCGTGGATTAAGGTTCAGCCAGGGTGTACAGGTCCTTAATGAAAGCGCCCTCGGTCATCTCCTCCAAGGGAAGCAGCAAAGCTGATTGACCACTCCTTGCCCCCCACCTTTCGTCCCAGGTGCAAAAATTAAGAGCCCCTGCGACCACCAAGCAAACTGTCAGAACAATTCCGGCTCCCGGAGGCTCTGTGCAGGCTCTGTACACCCAGAGCTGCGCGCACTTTCTGTAGCCACCTGTCTGGGTGCCCATCCAATCCGCCCACCCTAGTGTTCCCTCTCAAGATTCCTACCATGTCCCCTGTGGTGGCTGGACCCGCTCCTCGGCGACCTCAGCTGGCTCTCCAGCTCATCCCACAGCCCCGGGGTCTGCCCCGTGCTCCGTGACTCTCCAAGGCTTCCCTGGACGCGGATTTCCCGGACCCAAGGTTCACAGCTCCCCAGCGGCCAAGTGGCCCCACAATTCCCGGGTGTGCGGTGCGATCAGGGATGCTCTGCAGGTGGGGTTGTTAGAGAAAGTCTGGGATCTCCAGACCACGGGGGATCTTCGTGTCTAAGGTCTGCGGTTCTGCCAGAGCCTTCCCACAGCCTCGAGCCTCCGCGATCAGCCAGGGACTTTTGCAGAGTTTGCGAAGTCCCTGCTGCGTGTCCCAGCCCAGCCTCCCCACTTCCCCGAAAGCGAAGGAGGGGGGAACTCCTTTCACAATAAAAGCCCTGCCCCAGGCTTAGGCGGGCAGAGCCGCCTGGAGCAGGGGCCCAGGTGCTAGGAAGGAATGGGTCCCGCCCGCCAGGAGATGATCTGAGGTTGGGCGGCCAGCGCCGAGCAGGGTCTGGGCAGATCGCCCCGATCCCGCCTCCGAGGTGTTCGGGTGTTCGGGTGTTCGGTGAGTCCTGGGCAGTCGTGGGCGGGAGGAGGGTCGGAGAAAGGGAAGGAGGGGCCCTGGCCGGCCCGCTGAGGGTCGCCAAAACTGTTGCTCTCCCAAGCAAAGCCGCAGAAAGATAAGTCTTTTCGCTGGCATCTCCTAACCTTATTTGGGCTCTGTCTCCAAGGGCGGTTGGGAAGGAAATACGGGAGGAAAATCCTTTTACCACTTAAGGTCAATCACAATGGACAATTTTCCCCCCACCGAGAATTAACCAGTGTTTAAGTCGTTGGAGTAAGTGGCTGATACCGACCCCTCTGCTACGGATGCACAGAGTGCCTGTGTCCCCTGGGTCACCCATAGTAGGCAGGACCTGAGGATCTGCATGCTCCTTGCTGGAGAGAAGTCTGGGCTTAGAGTCTATAGTCCTGGAATTGAGGGCTGGCCCCTCTGTTCATAGCTGAGTGACATTTAATAGCTGAGTCACCTTCAACCAGTGCCTGGACATCTTTGAGACCTATGTCCCCCAGGATTCTTAATAGCCTATAGGCATGACGGTAGAGGTGAGAGCAGTCAGCAGTAGGGTGCCCTGAGAGAATCTGAGAACCAGGCTGACAAATTACTCTCTGAGTTTGAAATTAACAAGAATTGTCACTAGATGGACGTAAACCATCTCTCAGGAGTCACCTGCAACAGAGTGCTCTGAGGTTGTTACTGATGACAGTACTTCTAAAGGAGAACAAATATCCAGAGGTCTCTTTCAAGTGTGTATGGGGAAGGGGAGACAGAGGGAAGGGAAAGTATTCCTTCAGTCCTTATTATGTTCTGGATGCTTTCTGCAGGTGATTTCGTTTCATCATTACCAACAATCCTAAGAGAGAAAATTTATTACCATCATTTTATAAACAAGGAAACTGAGGAATATAGGGAGTGGAAGTGAGTTTCCTAAAGCCAGAGAGTAAGTAGTTTTTAGCAAAACAAAAAGCCTATTCATTAGAACAGGAGAGGAAAAGGAAGAAATTGATAAACCAGGAATGGGAGGCAGGATGCAGTGCAAAAAATTGCAGCTTGCCTGGGATTAGGGTGTGAGAGAGTACAGAAGAATCTGAGCAAGCGATCATCGATCGATCATCAATCATCGATCATGGAGCAAGTGCTGGATGAGGACGGGAGTGGGGGGGTGATCCTGCACTGTCTCATTCAGACATCAGTGTGGTCTTTTGGGTCCACTTTTCTGACTGCGACCCACATAAGATGTACATTTTATGCCGTGACCCTTCACACAAACATATATGTCTAAATGTCCCTAAAACCAAGTTTTATAAAACATTATTAAATGTAATGCACTTTGATATCTTCTATTTTGTTCCATTTCAATTATTCATAATGGTGGTCTCAAATCATTATGTTTATTTCAGTATGTCCATGAATAACTACAGTTTGAAAAACCACAACCCTGGAGAGTGGAGCAGACATTTTTTTTTTAAATTAATGTTTTAGAGGGTTTTGTGGTATTCTGCAGAATTTATCTGTTATATATAAAAGGAATTTAAGAGGCAGGGATTCTGTTGGCCAAGACTGAGAATACTGAACATAGTTAAATGGACTGTTCCTCCCCCACTCTTTTTAGCAGTAGGACTCATCAGAAACGTCAATGCTAATGTGCACTAAGATTTCCTGAGAAAGTTGGAAAGTGCTCAGTTTTTCCCACATTCACCGGGTGCTGAACTCTTTTTCTGGGGTCTCACAGGACACACTTGAGAAAAGCTGCTCTGGGACCTGGCCCAGGTTTCTGAATTGTCACCATAAGAACAGGAGTCAAAGTCCTACGTTCTGAAGCCAGACTCCCAAGATCAGCATCATTTTGTTCACAGGATACTCTGCTCAGCTAATGAGGTGCCCAGACCGGAGTGTAGGAACTCCACTTGTAAGTGAACAACTGGGACTTTGTAACCCAGATTGAATGTGAGCGCTCAATAGTCCAGGAATGACCGCAGCTGGGTAAGCCGGTAAAACAGTTCTGGAACTGCCAAACTAGGACACACCTGGATCTGCAGTGACTCCACCGGCCCTTCACAGAGTCCTGCCTAGAAAAAGCAACTCCCCCTTCTCTACTACCTCCTGCTTCCTTCCAGGTCTGCAGTGCTATAATTAAGACCACTGGTCCACAATATCTTAGATGTAAACATTGACTTCCCTGATAACTCCCTCTCGCATACGGCCATGACCGTGGCTGTGGCTCTGTAACTCAACAGGTCTGCAGGCCGACAACTTTGACATGCACCTTTTTGTTCCCTGTCCCCCTGCTTCCTCACTCTCCATGCATTTTTTGCTGCATACTCTGTGTTTGGTGTTAATATCAAGAACAAGTAAGAGGTAGCACTGCATTGGAAAACTGTCTGGCTTTCTACTAAAACTAAATATACTTGTGCCCTGCAAAAGCAAATCTTAGACCTTGACCCAACAGAGGTGCCTACACATATCAAAAGCCATGTACATACAAGGAAGTTCATTAGCAGCAAATTATTTGCAATGGTCACAAATAAGAAACAACCCAAATATCCATCCATAGTAGAAACAATAAGAAGATTGTGGTGTATTCACACAATGGAGTGTTTAACAGAAATGGCAATTCATGAACTACAGCCACACACGAACATTCTGCAGAGGGAGAGAAGCCAGCCACAAAAATAGGCCTACATATGCTTTCATTTATATGCAGCGCACAAACAGGCCATGCTGATTTCTGCTGTTAGAGGTCAGGTGAGCGGTTACCCAGGGGAAAGTCATGACTGGGAAGAAGACACGAAGAGGACTTTTGTGGTGCTGTGAGTGTTTTGTCTGTCAATCTGGCTACTAATTTGAATACCAATTACAGATGAAAATAAACTGAGCTGTAATATACTTATTACTAATAATATATATTAATATATATTAATAATATTATATAATATTAATAATATAATATATTTATATATAATTATATTATATTATAATAATATATATTAATAAGTATATTATTACTAATAATATACTTATTAGTGCACTAATGTGCACTAATGTGCACCTTTCTGTATGTATGTTAACCTTCAATAAAAAGCTATATGGAACAAAAACGAGCACATCCTGTCTCTAGCTTCAAAGGACTCACAATCTAGCCCAAAAGACTCCAAACATTTTAAGTTACTTGCCTCAGTAGCAGTAAGTTTTTGAGTGTATTCCCCAATATGTGCATTACATATTTATAAGTTACTTAAGTGTACCTCCTTATTTTATAAAAATGTTTCTTTCCACACACTCACACACACTGTACCCACATGTATGTACCAGTGGCGCTCTCGGTCATGCAGAGCTCGCTAATGAAAGGGAGATTTTGCAAGGCTGTGTTTCGAAGAAGCTGGATTATGGTAGCTACTAGAGTTATTTATAAGCATCTAGCACCCCATCTTTCAGACAATGAATAGGATGTATGTCCCTGCCCTTTGAGGTTTGCTGGGGTCATGTGACCAGCTTTGGCCAATGAGATTAAGTAGAAGAGCCATCGCTTCTGGGTGGAGGCTATAAAATCCAGCCCATGACTGGCCATGCTCCTTCTCTTCTGCAGTGACTTAAAAGCTTCTGTCAAGAAGGAGTCTCCAGGGGTGGCTGGGTGGCTCAGTGGGTTAAGCTTCTGCCTTGGCTCAGATCATGATTCCAGGGTCCTGGGATGGAGCCCCACATCAGGCTCTCTGCCCTGTGGGGAACCTTTCTCTGCCTGCCTCTCTGCCTACTTGTGATCTCTGTCTGTCAAATAAATAAGTAAAATCTTGAAAAAAATAAAGAAGGAGCCTCCATCAGCCTGGGCCTCTGGGGACCATGATGAGCAAAGCCTCCACAAGACCTCATTGGATGTGAGAGTGAATGAGAAATAACTTTGTGTGTTTAACCATCAAGATTCAAAAACTGTTCCTATAGCGTAACTCAATCCATCCTAATCACGTGAATAAAATTACTTTTGAGAAGGCTTGCTTGAGAATAACCATAAATTGGATTTTGTCCTCTGTTCAGAATCTTCCAGAGGCTTCACATCCCTCTCAGAGTAAAAAAAAAAATCCCAAGTCTTGCAGGAGCCTAACAAGTCCTTCCACACTCCTCTTGTCTGTCTTCACCACCTGCACTCTCTCACTGCCTATGCTCCAGGAGACACTCTCTTTCTTATTGTTTCTTGCATACTCCAGGCACTACGGGATCTTAGGACCTTTGCACTTACTATTCCCTCTGACTGAAATACCCTGTGCTGATGCTGGCAAGGATGCAGAGAAAGGGGAACACTCCCACACTGTTGGTGGGAATGCAAGCTGGTGCAACCACTCTTGGAAAACAGCGTGGAGGTTCCTCAAAAAGTTGAAAATAGAACTACCCTTTGACCCAGCAATTGCACTACTGGGTATTTACCCTAAAGATACAAATGTAGTGATCCAAAGGGGCACGTGCTTTCAAACATTTATAGCAGCAATGTCCACAATAGCCAAACTATGGAAAGAACCTAGATGTCCATCAACAGATGAATGGATAAAGAAGAATTGGTATATATACACATGGAATACTATGCAGCCATCAAAAGAAATGAAATCTTGCCATTTGCGACAATGTGGATGGAACTAGAGGGTATTATGCTTAGTGAAATAAGTCAATTGGAGAAAGACAACTATCATATGATCTCC